GAGCCGTTGTCGCGCAAGACCAAGCCGTTGGGACAACCCCGCGGGCTTCGAGCGAGGCGCAGCCGCGCTCAGGCGGAAGGCAGCACGACGCCCAGCTCTGCCGCGAGCTGCTTCGCCTCCGCCCTGGACAAAACCGTTCTCTTGTCGAACTCCAGGAGCGCCTTCCGCAGGGACGCCGGCGGCCCGCACTCCAGGAACTCTCGCGGCGGCGGCCGCAGGATCAGCATGTTCCGCATGCACGTGGCGCGGAAGAACATGACGTAGAGGTGCAGCCACCACTGCTCGTCCGACATGCCCGTGCGGCCAGCGTCCTCGTCTCTCGCGCAGTCGATGGTGACGCCCTTGCGCAGCGTCTGGCCCTGCGACAGCGTGGATGTCAGGTAGGACGCGTGCGTCAGGGTGAACCCCGAGCGGCGCACGCTGTGCGCCCCCGAGCTCTGCCATGTGAACTCCCTTTCGCTGGGCCTGAACATCATCAAGCTCCGCGCCCGCGCCTCGGCCTGGCCGTCGTCGTCGGCGCCTTCGGCGCCCTGTCGCAGCACCTCGGCGACCTGAGGAGCCCAAAACCTTCCTTGTTGCATCCAAAGTGTGGCCTGGGAACTGCGTTCTGGCAGCGCGAGAACCCAACATTGACGACAGTTACAGGTTTTGGATGACCTGCTCGGATTACCAACATGATCTGCGGGCCCCATAGGGGGGGGGCTCCCGCCTGAGACTTCCTCGCAGTTCACTCACAGACGAGGCTCCCGCCTGAGACTTCCTCCATATTCAGGCTTGAGGAGCCCAAAAGTGACGACAGTTACAGGGTTCCGATGACCCGCTCGGATTACCAACATGATCTGCGGGCCCCATAGGGAGGGGGCTCCCGCCTGAGACTTCCTCGCAGTTCACTCACAGACGAGGCTCCCGCCTGAGACTTCCTCCATATTCAGGCTTGAGGAGCCCAAAAGTGACGACAGTTACAGGGTTCCGATGACCCGCTCGGATTACCAACATGATCTGCGGGCCCCATAGGGAGGGGGCTCCCGCCTGAGACTTCCTCGCATTCACTCACAGACGAGGCTCCCGCCTGAGACTTCCTCCATATTCAGGCTTGAGGAGCCCAAAATGACGACAGTTACAGGTTCCGATGACCCGCTCGGATTACCAACATGATCTGCGGGCCCCATAGGGAGGGGGCTCCCGCCTGAGACTTCTTCACAATTCACTCAAAGACGAGGCTCCCGCCAGAGACTTCCTCCAAATTCAGGCTTGACGAGCCCAAAAGTGACGACAGTTACAGGGTTCCGATGACCCGCTCGGATTACCAACATGATCTGCGGGCCCCATAGGGAGGGGGCTCCCGCCTGAGACTTCCTCGCAGTTCACTCACAGACGAGGCTCCCGCCTGAGACTTCCTCCATATTCAGGCTTGAGGAGCCCAAAAGTGACGACAGTTACAGGGTTCCGATGACCCGCTCGGATTACCAACATAATCTGCGGGCCCCATAGGGAGGGAGCTCCCGCCTGAGACTTCCTCCCAATTCACTCACAGACGAGGCTCCCGCCTGAGACTTCCTCCATTTTCAGGCCTGGGGAGCCCAAAAGTGACGACAGTTACAAGGTTCCGATGACCCGCTCGGATTACCAACATGATCTGCGGGCCCCATAGGGAGGGGGCTCCCGCCTGAGACTTCCTCACAATTTACTCAACGATGATGAGGATGAGGATGATGAGTGGTGGTGAAGATGAGTGGTGAAGAGGATGATGATTGATTGTGGGTGGTGGTGGCGATGATGATGTTTGAATGAGGATGATGCCGATACCGATGATGACGATGATGTTCGTGAGCGTGTGAGAGAGTGCGAGTGATGATGATGTGTGTGTGAATGAGTGCGAGGAGAAGAGGGGGTGAGTGTTCCTGCGCGGGGTGTGCAGAGAAAACAAGAACCCCACTTTGGATGTGGGGAAAAAAACACCACCAGACGAAAGTCAAGAAGGCCTCCAGGACGCCCAAGAAAGCTTCCACGACGGCCAAGATTGCCTCCAGGACGCCCAAGAAAGCTTCCAGGACGCCCAAGAAAGCCACCAGGACGCCATGGAAGGCCTCCAGGACGCCATAGAAGGCCTCCAGGACGCCCAATAAAGCCCCAAGCACGCCCCGGAAGGCCCCCAGGACGCCCGGGAAGGCCTCCAGGACGCCCAAGAAGGCCTCCAGGACGCCCAAAAAGGCCTCCAGGACGCCCAAAAGAGCCCCACACCACCACGAACCCAAAGGAATCCCGAAGGCCCCCTGGGGCAAACAGAAGGTCAACCCTACTACTACGACTATCACTACTACTAGTACTACTAGTACTACTACTAGTACTACTACTACTACTACTACTACTACTACTACTACTACTACTGCTGCTACTACTGCTGCTACTACTACTACTACTACTACTACTACTACTACTACTACTACGACTACGACTACTACTACTACTACTACGACTACTACTACTACTACTACTACTA